GTTCTTCATGTGTAAAAATGAGCTGGAGAAGGAAATGGCAAACCACTCTAGTGTATTTGCCAAGAAAACCCCCAAAATAGGGTCACAGAGAGTTGGACACAACTGAACAATGACAACGTCTGCTACATATGGTGTATTTAAAACAATCTAGGTATCTCCATTACAAGTTGGTTTATACCAAACATAAGATTTTTAGTAACTGATAACCTATCATTAACAAAAGAATTATTTTAAGAGCCTGAACTCTCAATTTCTGATAATTAAATTTAATTGTAATTCTGTTAACTTTTTATTTAACTTCAGTATAATTTTCCTTAGAAGTTCCTTTATTTACTTTAGTTTCTGTACCTACAACACGTATGAATTTTTCCGGGACTTGATGCTAATGCAAACTCCTATGCAGACTCTTGGGCAGCTGGCAAATAGTGATTTTATGCCTGGCAGAAACCACACCTCTTTTAACAAAAGCTTGCTGGGCAGGAAGCTGGCAACATGCCTGGGCAGAGAGGAATGTGAATAAGAAGAAGAGTAGCAGGAATTATAGAACTGAAAAAAGGTGGTGACTGGTGACTCCTTCAAAAGAAGTGATGTCTGTCGAAAGAAAGCACTAAAGCCTATCGGTGGTGATTTGGTGATCCAGCTGCTTGTTTTGTTCACTGCATCAAGTTATCAGTGAGAATGGTAGTGGACTCTGGGTAGAAAGTTTGCCAGATCTTGGGGATTAGGGAGCTTTGTGCCCTGCCTCTTGCCAGTCTTCCTGTTACTGTTGACTCTTTCCTAAGAGGGCAGGGATCCACAAGTTGGCATCCTGTTTATCTTCATCTCTGTGGATTGCTTGCAGGTGGCAACTGGGGACCTAGCCTCATTTGATCAGATTCTTCTTCATGTCTGTACTCATTAATAATAATATTAACAGTAGTAGTAGCCACAACCACAACAGCAGTCATCTATATCCTGCTTTAAGAACTGACAAACTGATTTATGTGTTAGGGCAGGGACTGGCCAATGAGGGTCCCGTCCTTCAAGCAGGAATAATTTGCTCTGCCTCGTGCCAAACTACCTAAATCCTTTGCTTGCAGCCATGGATGATGGACAGCCCCGCCCTCCTCTCTAAAAGCCCCACTGCCCCTCAGAGTACCCCCAGAACCATGAGGGAAATCTCTGACTAGCCACAACCTAGGGAGCTGACTTGCCAGTGTCGGTGGAAATGGCTCTGCTACCACCAAACTCGTCTCCACAAATATTGTGTGTTCAAATCTGCATATTGATCCAGGTGAGGAGATAAATAAAGGCTTCCTCCATCCAGAGGTTCACAGCATGTCTTTCCTCTAGTGCCATCAGGAAAAAGGGCCTTTCTCCTTAATATGGACTGCCCATGAAGGATTTTCAATTCATGTAAAAACAAGAAAGAATGGACCATTCATGCTCAAAAATAGTTGTGAAGATTCAACAAAATCTTTCTTCAGTTGCCACCAATTCATAGAATATCTGCTCATACTCTGAAGCCAGGAAATGGCATAGATATTTATCTCCTCAGGGCATCCTAGATTCTCAAGGGAAAGATGTAGCCAGACGTAATACAGAGATCCAACTTGCCGGTACAAGTGGAAGTTGGAATAAGGATCCCTAATATATATATGGAATACACGAAGCCTCCTTATGCATAAGCACCAGCCAGAGCAAATTGCACATGCTCAAAAGACTGGGGCCCCATTGTTCAATCCCTCCCTGACAGCCTATTTTAGTTATATATTATCTCACTTGATCCTCATAACAACTAGTTGGGATAGGAGTGGTTATTGTTCTCATTTTACAGATAGGAGCTACTAAAGCTGAGAGAAGTTGACTTGGCCAGATTCATAGAGCTAGTGAGAGTCTAAGGCAGAATCTAAATTCAGGTTTTCCTAAATCAAAGTCCAGTTCATGGATTGATACACTGCATAAAATTTCATTTTTTTTTTCCTCTGAAAGAACAGTGGAAATCGTTAAAGTTGTCATTTTAATCACTATTTCCAAACAAATTTCCGGAAGCTTTAAATGATTTTTGAAACCAAGTTAGTTCAATTAAATACAAACATTTATTATGCACCAACTACATGAGCATTTTACCAAATGCTAGGAAAGATGCAAAGTCTAGGACATGGTCCCTACTCTTATGGAGTTTATGTAGTCTAGTGGGGAGCTGTGGTCTGTATAGGAAGTAGAATGTAAACTCCTTGAGAGGACGACTGTTTTTTTTATTTTGTCTTTGTATCCCTAGTGCCTTGAACATAGTATATAATACCACCAGGGGCTCCTTTCCTTTTCCTTACCCTCTCCTTTTACCGTTCCCTCCCTTTTTCCTATCCTGGCCCACCCCAGAACCCATCTGAGATGCTGAATTGCTCAAACAACTTCAATGAGATGAAAGTCAATAAGTTTTGGTGAGATGGGGGACCATCTACCTCTTTGCCCTGTAGATCCCTCTCTCAATTTCTTAATTGGTGTAGTCTCAGTAGCCTTATGCCTTGCCATCCACCTTGCTGATGAACCTCATGACTTCTGAACTTTTCTATCTGTCCAGAAAGTTAACATTTTTACTTATCACCCCAACTAGAGTGTGAGTTCTGTGAAAGCAGGGTTTCTCACTTTTTCTGTTTTTATCCCCCACATTTAGCAAAGTAAGCACTTAATAAACTCTTTTTTCACTTATTAATGTTTATTGCATTTAAATAACTCTAAAATACTTTGTGATAAATCCATTAGAAATGAAAACTACAGACAATATATGTTAATTTCAATTACCTCTGTTAAAACATTTAAATCTCTAAAACCAAATTAATATTTGCTATTCAGTATATGTGCATACGTATATACTACCTGTGTGTATGCAGTAGTTGTTCAGTTGTGTCTCTTTGTGACTCCATTTGGGGTTTTCTTGGTAAAAGCTTGAATAACTGGAAACTGCATGAAGACTTTTAGGACACCTGTATATCAGCCCTGTTCCTCTTTCTTTGGTTTCTTTTGGAGTATAGGACTAGCAGTGGTATCACTGGGTCAAAGTGTATACACAGCTGAGTAATTTGAAGGAAATAATTTTAAAATGCTTTCTAGAATGGCTAGACCAATTCACAACTCCACTAACACTGTAGTTAAGTAATGTGCCTATTTTTCCATAATCCTTGCAACATTTGCATTTTTTTTGTCATTTTGCCAGTCTCATGGATATGACCTGGGCCTCAGAGTGTCTTTAATTTTTATTTCTCTAATAATTAGTGATTTGAAGTATTTTTTTCATGTGATTGTTGGTAGTTTAGATTTTTTCATTTGAAATATGACTGTTCATATCTTTTGACCATTTATTTATAAGGAAATGGTCATAAATTTGAATCAGTTCTTTAATATATTTTAGATAAAGAGATCTTTATCACAGGAACTTATTGCAAAGTTTGTTTTCAATAACCTGTTTTGCTTCAAATTTTAGTTTTGGTCCGCCTCTTCATTGAAAAACAAAAAAATTTATGAAATGAAAATTGTCAGTGTTATCTTCTGTGATCTTCTCTGTCTTTTGTTTATTTGTGAACTCTTCCCCATTCTAGATCTTAAAAGGTGTTTCTTCCTTGGTTCTCTAATTTGCTTTATGATATCACATGTATCTGTCATGTAGCTATATGGAGTTTATTTTACTATATAGTGTTAGATGTTGGTCTATACCCAATTTCTGCCAAACAACTTTCCAGTTTTTCCAGTTTTTATTAAATGATGAATTCTTACCTCATTAATGTGTTCTTTGGGTTTATTTCTACTGTGTTCTTTTGCTTCTGTGTGTTACGTTCTACTGACTGACATTTTTTCATCAGCACCAAATAATTTTGATGATTACTGCCTTATAGTCTGGTTTGAAATCTCTTACTGCTATGTACCCTTCCTTCCCAATTGTTTTCATTATTTCCTTGAAGATTTACTTCTCCAGATAAATTAATTTTTTCTAGTTATACAAAATGTAAATAAAATAGTATTGTTATTTTTATTACATTATCTCAGCCTGCCCATGAGAAATTAATATCTCCCCAATTATTTAAGATTGTCCTTGTTACTGTAAAGACTTGTTACTGTTACTTGTAGTTGCAGTAATATTCACATGTTCATATAATTCCTTTGTATCTTGGTAGGTATACTCCCTTGTATTTTATAAATTCTATAATTACTTTAAATAAAACTTCTCTTTCTATCTCTTTCTGCTCAGTTTTGTTGGTAATGTGTAGAAATGCAGATGATTTATGTGGAGTAAGTGGGAGAGATGAATTCTTGCTCCTCTACTCTCCTACAAGTTAAAGACTTGTTTCAATTATTAAATTTAATCTTAAATTTTAATTAATTAAATTTATAAATTATAAATATGTTGTCTATAATATATTACAAAATTATTATAAATTACATTTATTAGATCCACCAAGGTACTTTTAAGCAAAGCTCATATGGCATAGTTCACAATCTGGAAATTATCATTCTTCCACCAGAATACAAACCCACCATAGCTGGAGGTAACACCCACAAATTCATGGTTACACAATTTTAACAAAAGTTATTTTTTAAAATTTTCCTAGTTTCTACTAGCCTTATTGCTTGCTAACACCTGCTCCAATCCAAAGATTTTCAGTCAGAACTGCAAGACTTTTTGCTCTTATTGCCAGGAACAAATATGATCAGTTGTATTGAGATGATGAGTGACAGCTGTGAGAATTAAAATTCTCCATTGTAACTTTGAGATTTTTATCTTGGGTTGGGGAGGGAAAGGCAGTGTCCTATATCATCTTGTGGAATCAGCTGTAATTACTCTAGATCTGGCACACAGTTTCTTGTGAGGGTTCTGGGTGGAAGAGGTTTTCACAAAGCACTTATTTCATTATCTTGCTGGTTATGTGACCAATATGATAACTTTGATAAGCTAAAGGTATTTAAAAGTTGTATGCTTTCTTGAGAACAGTCAACTCATTACAAGCCACTTCTCACCCTTGCAGGAGACCGTGACCTGAAAGACAAAGAAGATCAGTTTGGGAGAACCCCTCTCATGTACTGTGTGTTGGCTGACCGTGTCGATTGTGCAGATGCCCTCCTGAAGGCAGGAGCAGATGTTAATAAAGCTGATCACAGCCAGAGAACAGCACTCCATCTTGCAGCACAAAAGGTGAGGAGAAATGTCCCATTAAAGCCTCAATAGTTCATGTGGTACTTATTACTGAGTTTATTCAACTACCTTGCTGTTACATTATTAGCTGTCCTGCTTAGAAATTTAGAAATAATAATCATAACTGTAGACTCACACTTAGATGTGTTTGTTAATTAACTGTGTATTTGTAAAGTGTTCACTCCGTAGGCTAAACTCCCATTACTAGGTTGGACTAAAGAAAAATAATTCAGTGGAATTGGAAAACCTTACATTCTGTTCTTAAACTGAGAATATTAACATTATTTAATGTCATATTCTTAATGGTCATAGAATCACAGAATTTTAGGGCAGAAATCACCTTTAGAGTCCATCCATTCCAGTCTTCTTTTTGTAGACAAGAAAACTAATGTCTAAAGAATTTTTTTTTAATTGCCTCAAATCCTACTGACTTACAAGTCGATTTAAAATGTTGCTGTATTCAACTATCAACCAGACTTTTGGTCATTATAGGAAAGTAAACAATGAAAACTAGTTATGAGAAAAAAATTAATAGTAATATTGAGTCATTTCCTTTTTTTTTGGACTGGATTCATAATTTCATTGGTATAGGGGTTGCCTTGTGGGGAAATTCAGCTTTTAAATGTAGCTTGGCACCTGTCATGTAAGTTATAGTCTTAAAGTGTTACTAGTAACTAAAAGGCTAACTGATTCATCCAGGGTCTCACAGTCTATACATATCAAACACAACTTGACTCTGAGACCAGCTTCCTATCATCTAATGCCATACTGCCTCTCCATTAAGTTATATTTAATCTAATTAGTAGGCTTTCAAATTTCAGACAACTGGTACAAATTTCAGAACTGGCACAAGGGTCTTCTTTATTCCTTTTTTTTAAATGCTTTATTCATGTTCCTTAAAAAAAAATGACCTTCACTTCTTAATAACTCTTGTCCCAATCAGCTGGGGGTAAATTCCAAATTAGAAATGTGAGTTCATACCAGAGAACCACAATATTAAAGGGAAAGGCAAACAGACAGGATCTAGGTCAAGCAGAAAATAGCAGATGCTGTTGGAATGGGGAGGGGAAGAGTGGGAAAGGAAGAAATCTGACTTTTCACCAAGAGCCTGATGTAATTTGTAACACTCTCAGTTTTCTAGGAACATAGTTACTTTTATATCTAGACATAAGAGATTAGCCTACCTTCTGCTTTCTTTATATTGGCCTTACTGGACAGCTCCCCACACTCTCAAGCAGGAGAGTACCCTCTAACAAGATGGCCATCTCTAAATGGCTCTGGACAACTCACCATGCAATCACATCTAATTACTGAAAGTTTAAGGAGCACATATGATTATATTTATCATTCCCTCCTTTTACTATTATAAAATCTTAGATTGATGAGTAAGCTGATTTCCACCTAAATGATCTACATAAGATGCATCTGATCTTTTGTCAAGAGTTCACTGGGTATTATAAAATATGGCACAAAGAAACAAAACTCCAGTACCCCAAATACTATCTTTGAATACTGTCACTTTTTCTCTTTTCAAAGATATAAATTTTAACTGGAAGAAGAAAATGTCCCCTGTGCCCCTAAATTTTCAGTTTCCTACTCAGAACCTGAAAAGGCACCAGAGATATATTCCTAACTTCTTCACACGGTATTATTCCCATATTACTTGGGAGTGAGTAATAGTCTTTGGGTTAGGTGAATCTTGACATGAGCTCTATCATATTTGGTTACATACTCCAAAAAGACAACTTTTTCACATTGGGTTCATATACAACCACCCCTGTATCCTTGAGCAAGTAATAGTGTGAATATCCTTGATTCTAGTTTTAACATGAGTCTTCATCCTTGCTTGTGCCTGTGAATATTTTCGTTTGTTTCTTGGTCCATGGGGTGCTATTTCTTCAAAAGATATTGATTCATCCACTATATAGAAAACTCTTATAATACTCCCATTACGTACCTTAATTAGTACAATTTATTCTTTCTTTTCTTTTATTGTGACAAATTCTTCTACTCAGAAACCTTTTCAACACAGGTTTTTACTCTGCTCTGCCTCCTTAGAATATTTTTATTTATGGCTTTCTTCCCAGATTACATCTTTTCACTTATATCCTCTGAGATAAGGTGGTGCATAAAAAGATATTTCTTAAACCTTGACACTTTCTTTTCTAACAAATAGATTTGCTTGAACTTACAGTATATACAAACATTCACTACCATGGCAAGCTAGGAAATAGTATGTGCCCTATTAAATCACTGCAGTGATTCTCTACTTCCTTTCTTTCTGGGTTTCAAATTTGAAACAGATCATGTTTGGTTCTCCCTGGAAATTGCCATGGTAAACTATCTGTTTCAGTGTCTCTTTGCTGGGGCTCCTGTGTGCATCTGTTTCAGGGAACTGAGCCTTTAAATTTGGTTGTATTCCCCATCAATGCTAATTTCTGCTGTCATTCTTGGTGTTACTAATTGAGATCCATTAGGACAGCTAAACATCAGGTCTACGAGGTTAGTAGTCATTCAGCTTTGTCCTTAATATTCTAAAATATCTCAGTTAACTTTTTCTGCTTTATCATCACTTAGGCTACCTATGCTCATTGTTTAGGCCCTAGCCTAAGGAGTTCTTAGCCTATGATTCTTGAAATTGTTTTTTTTTAACAAATATGTTAATTTTATTTCAATATGATTGGTTCCTTTTGCAATCCTATATATTTTATTTTGTGTGTTTAAGGACATTATTCTAGGAATGGGTACATGACACCAAAAAAAAAAAAGTTAAAAACTCCTGACCTAATGTATCATGTGATATAATTCCTCTTCCTGGTAATACTGCTTTCTTGTATGTGCCCTATCAGTCCACAAAGTAAATATTTGACCACTCTCTGTGGTCTGTAGGACTTCATGCAACAAAATGACCATCTTGGAGTGATATAGTGAAGAGCATTCATATGTAATTAACCATGTGCATGTATTATATGTGGAACTGTATTTTAAGGGAAAGTACACAGTGATTGTTATTAGCATAATTATCACTTGGGATTGTTAAAAGAGCCAGGTACCAGAAAATATTTTTTGGAATGCAGGACAGCAGTTGGAATTTGATACTTAAGATAGAAGGAGGTGAAGGTCTTGTCTCTCACCATTAAGGTGGTAGCTAAGCCACATGCAACCTGGAGCCTTCTTCCTAAGCAATGTGTAGGATTGTAGTGTAGACTTGGAAGCTTAGAATCCATCGTGGACTTGGCCGTTCTAAATGATCTTTAAATAAAGTTCCAAGGATTCCATACAAGATGGTTCTCTGTCCTTTCAGGAAGATCATAAAAATTGCATTTTTTACTTCCTTGCCTTTATAGCTAAAAAAAAAATCAAATCAAAACTCAAGGACTTTGGGGGAGGGGAAAGACAAGCCCATAGTTAAGTGCATTTTGGTGACAGTGCGGGGATGATTAGCCAAGAAGAGAGCGAAATTCTATCCCTAGGATGCTTAACTATATTATTGAGGTCACAGAAAAATCTCAAGCAAATAGTGAGTCAAGCTTCACATGAGCACCAAGATTTGGCCCAGACCACTTCTCAGATGGAAACATAGAGTTGGTGTTTCTTGATGCTTGATAATACATATTCTCCACAGTAAATCTGTGTTCTTCTGTTCCAATGCTTCTGTAAAGAACCCACTGAAGAGTTATCATAGAGTTTATGATCCTTTTCCCCCCAGACATGTCTACCCATATGTAAGTACTGCAAGACACAGTGCCTCATTGATTTATTCCTTACATAGATTCCATTACCTGACTCCTAAAGAGACATATTCAAAGAGTGTCTGCTGGGTAAGCAGTAGGATAATCTTAGTAATGTAAAAACTCCCTGACAGCAGTTTATCTTCATTTGCTACCAGCATTGGTCCAGGAGAATCAATAGCTCTTTTAAGAGCTGGTTCATTTGTTTCCTAATCTTCAGGTATCATCGTATCTAAAAACAAGACTATTGAGAATTTTTGTATATAATTGCTAAATTTGGTTGCTTGAGGATGAGCACATTTTTGTGATAATGATACTAATATTACATAAGCAATAGAACTTCTATGTCAAACATGGTGGAAAGAATGTTTTCTTTTTATCCTAGTCTTTCTCAATGAAGAAACCTTAATATCCTCAGATGGATCTCTATATATGAGGATCACCCTAGTAGCATTTAGAAATATTTCATCAAGGAGAGATCACAGGGTATAATGTATAGAGAGCTGACCTCAGCATTAGAGAGACATGGGTTTAAGTTCCACCTACTTGTACATACTGGTGGCCTAAACTTGGGCAAGTCACTTAACTTCTCAGTGACCTCAGGCAGTGTTCCAACCCTGAGACTCTAAATTGAAGAACAGCTGCAGGGGCAGCTAGGTGGCTCAGTGGATAGAATGCTGAGCCTGAAGTCCAGAGTTTCATCTTCTTGAGTTCAAATCTGGCCTCAGACACTTCATAGCTGTGTGACCCTGGGTAAGTCACCTAACCCTGTTTGCCTCAGCTTCTCCATTGTAAAATGAGCTGGAGAAGGAAATGGCAAACCATTCCAGTATCTTTGCCAAGAAAAGAGTCAAACACAACTGAATACCATGCAGATCTTATGCTAACAGTTTTTTTTTTTTAATGGAGATTTTCTTTGCCATTGAAATCACAGGTCTGGATAAAGGAGGGCAAAAAATCATTGACATGATTTGCAAGTCATGTGGTATTTTTTTTTCCCCTAGACAAAAACTTGAAATATGGGAATGTTTCAATATTCTAGAAGGTGGTTTCACCATTTTGCTGAAGTAGAAAAAATAGAAAATATAGTTAAGTAAATAGCTTGCCTTAGCATTTCAAATGTAGTAATTTATATCCCCCTCGGTGATCATTCTAAACCAGAGGTGTCAAACTTGTGGCCCACAGCAAAATTCCTGAGTACAGCCTGAACCAGATTAAAATGTAATTTGGAAATGTTAACAAAAATGAATATAAATACAGTACAACATA